TGCCGGGTTGCTTAGGGCCTTGGATGAGCACTGGCATCATAATGAACTTCCGTTTCATGCACAACCAAGGAGGAAGGTTATACAAACATAGAGTCACAGGCCAGGTGCCATGGTTGCTGCTCTGCTCCCCAAAAGGATTAATGTCATCTACGCTTAGACCAAACCATATGTTCCTTGCGTCATCTGCAAACTCCTTCCCATACTTTCTCTCGATTTTTCTCCACTGCGACCCGTCAGCGGGTACTCTCAACTTTCCGTCTTTCTTACGGTCTTCTCTGTGCCATCGCATCACCTTGGCATGCTCTTTGTTTTGGAACAAACGTTTCAACCGTGGTATTATATGAGCATACCACATCACCTTGGCATGAATCTTCTTCCTGGGGCGCTTGTCCTCGACATCACCAGGGTCATCGCGGCTGATCTTATAGCGCAATGCACCGCATACGGGGCAAGCGTTCAAATCCTCGTACTCACCGCGGTAGAGGATGCAATCATTAGGGCATGCATGTATCTTCTGCACCTCTAACCCTAGAGGGCACACATCATTCTTTGCTTCGTACGTACTCTCGGGCAATTCATTGTCCTTTCGAAGCATATTCTTTATCATTACCAGCAACTTTTCAAATGCCTTGTCAGATATACCATTCTCTGCCTTCCATTACAGCAATTCCAGTGTGGTGCCCAACTTTTTCTTGTCAGCTTCGCAATTCGGGTACAACAATTTCTTGTGATCCTCTAACATGCGCTGCAACTTCTTCTTCTCCAAATCACTTGCGCAGTTTCTTTTTGCATCGGCAGGCCCGACCTAGATCATCAGCGGGCTCATCTGATGCCTCTTCTTCAGCTTCTTGCCGCATTGCCGGATCAGCTTCTTCCCCCATTGTTGTATCATCATATTCAGGGAACCCATGGCCAGGATAGCTGTCGTCGTCCTCTTCTTATTCATTGTCTTCCATCATAACCCCTCTTTCTCCGTGCTTGGTCCAAACATTATAGTGAGGCATGAAACCGTACTTAAACTGGTGGACGTGAATGGTTCTTGACGTAGAGTAATTGTGATCATTCTTATAGACAGCACATGGACAAGGCATAAAACCATCCGCCCGCTTGTTTGCCTCAATCGCAAGCAGAAAAGTTTGCACGCCATTAATGAACTCGGGAGAGCATCGGTCATCGTACATCCATTGTTGGCTCATCTTCAATACACAACACCGAAAAAACCAAATTAATACAAGTTCATACATAAAGTTCATACGACACTTAAATGCAACAAACAAATAACTCTCTAACTAAAGCATTTAAATGCAACAACAAAAGCGATCAAGATCGCAATTAAGGTAACAATTGATCCAACAGCATAATGATACCAAGCCTCACTATCAATGGCATATTTTCTAATCTTTCTAATCTTCAAGCACATTTTCTCCATCTTGATCTTGTGATCATCGACGACATTGGCAACATGCAACTCCAATTCCATCTTCTCCCCCTCAATTCTTTTAAATTTTTCTTTCAAATACTCATTTTCTCTTTCAGCTAAATTTAACCTCTCGACAATAGGGTCGGTTGGAATTTCCGGTTCACAAACCTCCTAGATAAAAATATCTATGTCAACTTGATGGGCATAATAATTTGTCATAAACACGAAATGCAACAACTAGTTTTAAAAGAGAATATACCACATCCGAATCATAACAAGGACGAGGGCCGACGGGGACGGATATCAAAACCATGGCACTATGTATAACAAACAATGTACGGGTAAGATAATAATACGAGTAACTATATATCCAAATCACACAAACATCAATTTGGTAATGTAAAACTTTCATGAACAAGAGGCTCACCACAAGGTGGTGCCGGCGACGGGACGGTGCGGGCAATCGACGGTGGTTACGACGGAGATTTAGAAGGCACTAAGTAAACCACGCCTACATATGCAAACTAAGTGTTATTTTTGACCTCAAATTGCATATAACTCAAATACTAGCACATATATTTCCTCCCAAATTACTAAACTCATAAATTAATCACTATACAAAGCATTGCAAGAGCTAATCTAGCAATGAGAGATGAAAGGACAAAGTTGCTAACCTTTGTGATCATTTGAATGGATGGGGGCCTTCAAATCTTGACAAATTTTGGGCAAATGTGTGATGAGCTCGAGAGGAAGAGGGGAAGAACGGAGAGGAGAGGGGGAAGGGGAAGAACAAAGCGAGCTCGGGTGGACGAAGGGTTTATGTACGACGACCTTTAGCACTGGTTCGTCCCACGAACCGGTACTAAAGGTGCTGGAGGGGCCCCGGACTGACAACATCCTGGCACCACTCACTTTAGTACCGGTCCGTGGAACGAACCGGTGCTAAAGGTTCGCCACGAACCGGTGCTAATGAGAGCGGCCGGCTAGCCGTTGGAACCGGCACTAATGCACACATTAGTGCCGGCTCAAAATCAAACCGGCACTAATGTGTTTGACATTTGACCCTTTTTCTACTAGTGCAACTAGGCTGCAATTGACTCGAATTCAAAAGGGTTTGAAATAAATCGGAAGTAATGTATGAACATGCACTATAGGGTGATGTGTCGAAATATTTATGCCATTTCCAAACCTTTGAAATGATTGTGTACACTTGTAGTTATAAATATAGACTTTCCACTGTTATGTTTCTTCACCTGGAGAATGGTTATTTCAGTTCTATTATCACTGTGTAATATTAGTCACCTTATATTGCAGAGTGATAATAGAGCTGAAACTGCACCATTTTTTTTTTTGCAAATTCATTACAATGTTATGCAATTTCATTACATACATTACTTTTTATAAATCATGCTGGAGTGCACGCCTCCTGGGGGCTTTCACGGGCAAGAGCGCCTTCCGCGCTGTCCATAACCATGTGGCGTGCCGCAGGGGCTCACCACGCCGTCCCATCTACCCGGACGGCGCTCACCCGGGCGACCCGCCTCAGCGGTCCATGATGGGTGGACCGGAGGCATGCTCGGGGCCACCGTCATAGGGCGACTTTGGGTGCTCCTGCGAGAGCACTTTTTTGTGTTGTGCCCGCGCGTCATGCTAGTTGTAGTAAGTCTATGTGTCATGGTTGTTGGAGTGACATTGCTTTGCACTTTTAGTGCAGATGGAGGTATGTGAAGGCGTGTCTCCGATGGATCTTCCTGGATCTGATCGGCTTTTGTCTCCAATGTATCATGGGTTCGGTCAACGTTGTAATTTTTGGAGTATCTGCATGTCCCTTTAGTGTCTTCTTATCTGAGGGTGGCGATTTGCTATGCAGATTGTGGATGCCAACACCTTCTGGTCTACATCAACGACTCATCGAGCGCTACTCCTAGAAGTGCCTCGGTTAAAACAAGTTTGACCCACAACGACAAAGCTTCGGTGGAGGCAACGAGCTTTGTTCACGGCGCACTACCGGTAGATGCAAGAGGAATAAGTTTGGCACCCCTAGGAATTTGGATGTAATCTTCTTTCTCTATGAGGGTGGATTTGTCGGGGCTTGTGATACTTAATATACGCCCTTATAACTTTCCGAAACTACATAAAAAATAAAATTAAAATTTCCAATTTTTTAAATTTCTTTTGAAATACGTAGATATAGAAAGGTGAAGTTATTAGAACGTACCTATGGCTTCTTTAGAGAACAATGTACCAGTGGCATTTTTTTGGATTATGATAACCAGCAAACATCCGCTAGAGAGCATGGCAAATTGAATGTTTTTCATGACAAGTTATGTTATCACATGGATGACGATTTCCTGACATTTGATTTGGCATGCTATCGTCAATTTTTTTTTAATATTTCCATCCCTTTTCAGGTAACGTACTAGTGGCTTGGTTTTTTTATGGAAATCGTGGCAGTGGCTTTTTTTCTTGAGAAAAGGAAAACGTACCAGTGGATTTTTATTTGAGGGATCCCAAACTTTATTATAATTGAACAATATTCAACGAGATAGAAAGGGGGTCATGAGGGGATAGAAGTCACACATGGCGACACTGAGTAAGCGATACATCAGATTTTACAATATTATGTGCCTCCTGAGTCAAAGCTCGACCTTCGAACATAAAATCACGGCTGGCAAAAAATTACGATTCTCCTATTTATCTCTTTCACAATACCAGTGGATTATTTTATTTTATTTTATTTTTTGAGGAAACAATACCAGTGGCCCATGGTATAATTTAATTTATGGAGACTGCGGACCGGCCCAGGAATCAATTCGTACTCTTCTCTCATTGCTCATTCCTACAGGGGAGCCCAGTCCATAAGCCCAACTCAGGCTTATCCACGGGTGCCCGTTTCTACCCTAGCCGGCGGCCGGCGGCCGGCGAGTGCTTACTCCGGCGACGCAGTCAAGCCGCCCCACTCGCGCAGCTCACATACTCCGGTGACCGGCGAGTATTCCCCTTCGCTATCCTTTTGATTTCAGAACAGCAATGCTGAGTTTCTTCAAGTAGTAGCTAGGGCAGTTGCATGATTAGCTAGGTCATCTTCTGTTTCTGACAAGGAAATCAAATGCCCAAAGTTTCTGAGGAAAAGGAGATAAAATCACAGCAATGACTGGATACTACTCCCTTCATTCCTAAATATAAGTCTTTCTAGAGATTCCAACAAGTGACTACATACGAAGCAAAATAAGTGAATCTACACTCTAAAATATATCTACATACATTCGTATGTTGTAGTCCATTTGAAATGTCTAAAAAGACTTATATTTAGGAATGAAGGGAGTAGTATAAAAGGTTGACAAATCCAGTGGCATATGTTTCTAGTTAATAGCATTACAACATGATAAGGCGCAGACCAGGTGGCCCATGTAGCATTACAATATAATAAGGTACTAATCAGGTGACCCATGTAGTTCAGTTCAGTATGTAGTCGAACTAACATTCGACATAAAAGTACAAGGCATTACAGTTTGCAACATAGTTGTGAGTTAACTTCGCTCAAATGTGCAAAAATAATACACAAAAACGCTCTGCATATTCATGTATTTGTCGTGTTTTGTGGCATAGGGCGATTGTCAGACGACACAAAGGGCTTGGGGGGAATATGCAGGTTCTGCAGCCTCCCAGTTAACATGTTTACCACCTTAGTCATTGAAGGACGGTTCTTCGGGTTCCACTGGATGCACCACAGCGCCACAATAGTCAGCTGTCTCATCTTCTCCTTGTCTTCTGCTGTCATTTCCAAAGTAAGCTCCCATTCTTGCCCATTGATTACTTTCTCGTAGATCCACTCTGGGAGATATACCTCATCCTGGTTCTCAACACTAGGATCTGAGTTCCTCCTTCCACTGACCATTTCCAACACAAGCATGCCGAAACTGTACACATCTGACTTGTATGACACCCCTCCAAAGTTCTGAGAGTATAGCTCCGGTGCGATGTATCCCATAGTTCCTCTGGCTGCTGTGAGCGTAACAATGCTTTGGTCCCTTGCACACAACTTTGCAAGGCCAAAGTCAGAGATCTTTGGATTGAAGTTGTAGTCCAGCAGGATGTTGTGTGGCTTGATGTCAAAGTGGAGAATCCGCTGGTTGCAGCCTTGATGCATGTATTCCATTCCTCGGGCGGTGGCTAAAGCAATATCTAGCATTTTGTTTGGTGCTAGGGGTTGTCGAGAAATATTGCAAACATGTGTGAATATGTATTTCTCCAGTGACTCGTTAGGCATGAATTCATAAATAAGAGCCCGTCTCATTCCTTCGGAGCAAAAGCCCAAAAGACGGACGATATTTGCATGGTGGATTAGTCCAATGGTTGCAACTTCATTGATGAATTCCTCTCCCTCTCCTGTAGAGCTCTCTAGCATCTTGACTGCCACAGGAACTCCATTTGGTAGCTCGCCTTTGTATACACTTCCAAATCCACCCTGGCCGAGTTTATCCTTGAACCGTCTTGCTATCTTCTTAACTTCAGGGAAAGTGTACCTTGTGGGTTTCGATGTGCCATATGCCTTGAGAAACATTTCGACCTTCTTATTTATCTCTTCATTATACCTTGACTTTAAGGAGAGGTAGAGCGTTGCGGCTACCACCAATGAAAGAGCTATAAATGCAGCTACAGATGATGCTGCTGATTAAAAAGAAATGAAATTAGTGAGCTGCATTCAGATAAGAAGTCATGGGTTCCTAACGCTTATAGCAATGAGAAAACACAATAAGAATTTCATTTAGAATTTGAAACAAATGAGAGTTGCATCATTACCTGCAATTGGGATGACATGCGTGCCTGCATGTAGGAAGAATATCATTAGTTTTGCCATGACTTACTGTAGAGAAAAACAGAAGAACTACTTCATTACTTGCACAGTGTATGTTTGGAACAACTAATTTCTGATTCCTGTTGACATAAGAAGGACATATATATGTGTTGGCCTCCAGTTGGCTTCATGTACATTGGACCTCAGACATAGGGTGTTATATTGATTAGTGCATCCCCTTGTTATGTGATAGCTCTACAATTGTTTATTCATCTTCAGTACTAAAAGACTAAAGCAATCTGAAAAATGGTCAATTAAGGTTTATCTCTTACTGTTTTATGAGAATTTTACAAATTAGTCAACCGTCATAAGTTTCCCCATATAATTTGCCACTTGCATCTCTAAATGAATGTTTTTTTGGGGGAACTTTCATGGATGTGAACCTAGAGACTGTATGTGCTTGAACAAGTTAACAATTTCTATGATTTCCATTACAATTTTGTTTGTAAAATAATTGAGCTATAGGTGAAAATCCTGTTGAAAGATTTAAAACAGTTAACCCGGAATATAAGAGATTGATTTTTTGTTCCGAAATAAATTGAAACGTCAAGCAAAAGAAAGAATACCACGGGGCTGGCAGAATGCTTGACGGCTGCGTGAACTGAATCCACAGTGTCGACCTTCTTGTTCACACTTTTGGCAGACATCGGTAAGGTTACTGAGGTGCCAAGTGAATGTTGTTTCACCAAAAATGATGACTGTACTCGCTTTTTTGTTGAAGACAAACTTGTTTCCTATGTCTGGGCCATCTATATCATAGCTGTAGGGTATTGGAATGCCTCTAGAAACGGCCTCACAGTCCCGTGGTAGATCATATATGTATGCATAAGCTGACGCCGCCAAATACCAGAACTGGGTTGCGTTGTTACTGTGACAAGCAGCTGGGCCAGCTACACTGGATGGATCTGCAGGTATGAATTCGCTTGAACAACGTACCAGGGTCGTTGGTGATGGAGGTAGTTTGTACACATCAGTTGCTAAATTTGTTGAGGTGAGCTTCTGAAGTGCGCACTGTGTCGCTGGTTCCACAAGCGGGGTGACGTTGATGACACGATCTCTGTAATAGATCTCGGTTACTTTGCAGGAGCCAAGAACAGGGTGATCCAGGATTATGTCATCCCCGGAGCACGATAACTGCATGCCAGGTGCGCCACATGATGGTGGGTGAGTTGACAGCCCGAACGGGAACCGGATCTCTGGTCCATGTTTGCTGCACCTGTGAGATGAACATTGTTTGAAGAAATCTTCATCATCCGATGCTGTGCCCACATAGGTTTGATAGGTTAGAAGAGATAGCAGCAGCGGCGTCACAAGAAATTTAAGCAAATCCATGCGATGTATTGCGTATGAAGGTGGAAGAAGAGAAAGCCAGGAGTATAGAAAATCGTTGTTTGCTTTACTTCTGGTGAGGATTGGGTTAGCGGTTGCCTGACCAGATATTCCAGCTGCCACCAAACCTCTGCCATATGTGTTCTATGGCTCAGGAAGTTCCATGGTTCTATTGCTTTAGACCATTCATGCCGTTTCACCACACATATATGCATAATTATCATCTAAAAAACAAACTCGTGAAGTTGACATGGTAAAGCATCAAAAATATGTGATTGGACCAGTAAAGGATGCTATAGTAACACAATTGGACTCTTCTGTTAACCAAGAGGTCACCGGTCAAGAACATAACCATCACTTAGATGAGCCAAGTCTCCTTGTCAGCAACATCACGGTCATGTAGAGGTACTAGTTGTCATGTAATTACCATCCTTTGGAGTTCTTTTTTTTTTACTTTGGCAGCCATTCATCTGCACATCTGTGTGTCTACCATGGTGATGCCCACTGCTCTCAAGGCCTTAACTTTCTTGTTTGTGCTTGCAGTTCTTGCACCAGATCAGTCAGACGGGCGCCATCATCAGCCTGATTGTCCTTCTTTCTCGTGCGGCCCTTTCAGAAACATATCGTCTCCATTTCGTCAGGCAAGTGATCCACCTGGGTGCGGCTATCAATCTTATGAGCTGGTTTGCGGTGATACAAAGGCTACAATTCACATCGACAACGTGACATACTATGTCTCTGCCATCAATGACAGTGGTTCTTACTTCTGGGTAGTCGATGCCGACATGGATTTATACAGCAGCTGCCCTCTACCTCGGTGAAATCGGCCTCCCTCTTCCTTCCGGGTAGTCGATGACGACATGGAAGTCGAATTGGACCCCCTTTCACGTAGACAGTCTTGCTTTCTTAAATGCTCTCGGGAAGTAAAGGACAGTGGTATGTACATGCCTGTTGCTTTCCTTAGCAGCAATGATACTTATGTTTACGTGTTAACTGGTTATGGATAGTGTTCTATGGAGTATCTCGAGCCTTCTTGTGGGTACCTGGCCATGACTCCTTGGCCTTGTCACAGTCCATTTTGTTGGGACTACGAGCCGCTAGAAAATGCAAGTTATGTAGATGTTGTGAAATCCATGAGGATTGGATTTGCCATTAAATTCCCTTTCAGATATGATAGGATGAGCAGAAGCATCAAGGAGTGCCTAATACTCCAGTTTCGGTGAGTTCCGAATTTTGATGTATCTATATAAGTGGTTCTATTTGTTGCCTGTATAAGTGGTTTTGATATATTTTATCCCAAAACCGTTGATCCCCTCTTTCATTTCTTTTATGTCTCGTTGGATGGTATTGCAGCGACTTCTCGCAAGAGTGTAGTGAAGGCGTCATGAGTTGTCTTCTGCAAATTCTTTTGGTCGATGGAAATTTCTGGTACTGCTTAGTGTATGCAACTGGATTTGGTGATTATGCCTCATCAATCATACCATCCGTCTTCTGGTTTGTCAAGTGCAATGCTGGTAATTCCGAATGTTCTGCTCTTAATTGCAGTTTCTTCATCATCACGTCTACGCATGTGTGTACCCACCCACCAAACCTATATAAACTTGTTTATGCAGTGTTATGCAGGTTTGTGTTGGCACCACTGGTTGTGTTGATTTTCCTCGCCCACAAGTATTGCAAAACGAGGATCACAATTGATGCTGTCGAGAAGTTCCTCCGAATGCAACAAATGCTAGGTCCGATGAGATATGCCTACACTGACATCACAGCAATTACTAGCCATTTCAGAGATAAGCTGGGTCAGGGAGGCTGCAGGTCTGTGTTCAAGGGTGTGCTATTGCCAGGCAATGTTCATGTTGCTGTCAAGATGCTAGAGGGCAATTCTAACTGCAATGGAGAAGATTTCATCAGTGAGGTCTCCACCATCGGCAGGATCCACCATGTAAACGTGGTGCGTCTCATGGGTTTCTGCTCAGAGGAGATGAGGAGGGCTCTGTTATATGAGTACATGCCTCAAGGTTCTCTTGATAAGTACATCTTCTCCGCCGAGAAGTGCTTCTCTTGGGACAAGCTTAATGATATAGCTTTGGGCATTGCCAGGGGTATTAACTACCTGCATCAGGGTTGTGACATGCAAATTCTCCACTTTGACATCAAGCCGCACAATATCTTGCTCGACAATAATTTCATCCCCAAAGTTGCTGCTTTCGGTCTTGCCAAACTATACCCAAGAGACAACAATTTCGTGCCATTGAGTGTCCTACGGGGAACAATTGGGTACATAGCTCCTGAGATGATATCTCGGAGCTTCGGTGCCATATCGAGCAAGTCTGATGTTTACAGCTTTGGGATGCTGCTGCTGGAGATGGCTGGAGGAAGAAGGAACGCTGATCCAAACGCAGCAATGTCAAGTCAGGCGTACTACCCATCATGGGTGTATGACCGGCTAACTCAACAAGATGTAGGTGAGATATCTGCTCCTATTGCTACTGAGATGCATGAGTTGGAGAGGAAGTTGTGCATTGTTGGATTATGGTGCATCCAGATGAGGTCTCATGACAGGCCAACGATGAGTGAAGTCATAGAGATGCTGGAAGGTGGCTTCGATTGCCTGCAGATACCTTCCAGGCCATTCTTTTGCGACGAGGAGCACACCGCTGTTGCGGACTCTTACCCTTTGTTGTCCGAGCTTACTGAGATTTCAGAGGAGGATGAGTAGCAGCATATAATGTTAAAATGTAAGCGCCTTATTGATAGCCACCTTCTGAATCCCATGAACTTTTATGCAGAAACGTGTAACTGTCTTATTGTTAAAATGTGATCGTCTTCCTGGAAGACACATATTAGTCTTTTGAGTATATGAGTACATTTTACCTGCTGTTAAAGCATTGGTAGTATGGAATGACTACAGGGTTGAAAGAATGTATTATGGTACCTTAAGTAGATGAATAAATAAAAAATGCAAGAAATGCAGAGCCAGGGGATGTTGTTTCTTGTTCTTATGCTAAATTGTTTTCTCTTAGCAAGTATGAACTATTTCATATTCTTTATTAGCAGTATGACCCCTTGGAGCAAGCTGTCCTCAGTGTATGTATATATGTATTTATGCTTCTTCCTCCTGTAACAAACTTACCCTTACCAGTGTATGGAGAGGACGATTGTACGATGATGATAGCTGTAGCTGTATTTAATTTAACTTTTGCCAAGGCCGTGTTGTTGTAATCATGAATCCTTTAAGTTGACCAACAATCCAGGTCCTGTATCATAATCATCAAGTAAATTGCTGCAAAAAATGGCAAGTCCTTCCATTACAATATCAGTGGACATCGGTAGCAGTGTAAGTTCAAAAAAAAGACCTCCATCAAGTTCAGTCATAAGCATTGCAGCAACTTGGAATTTCAGTCATAGTCATATGGTGCAGTAGAGATCAATTTCAGCCATAGCTCTCAAGGAATTCCAGCTGAGATCAATCCAAAACTCTTGCAAAAGCAGTGGACAGCAGTAGCTACCAATCAGTCTCAAGCCAAGAAAATTCATTCAGTTGTATAAAACACGCTTGAGAAGCCCGGCAAAGAATTACAGCTAAGGATGCAACCTCCTGCCGTACATTTTCCTGCAATTTCGAGTGCGACTGTAGATTCTCTGCCATCCAGACCCGCATCTTCAGCTGCCGCTGCCAGAACGATCGAGTCCTCTGGGTCATTCATACGAACCACTACAAATAACTGGACGTCAGCACTAACCTCACTTCCAGGGCAAATAAACTCCTGTATCTATCAACCATATTTCTTCAGCAATTATTTCAGACGTGTAAACGTCGAAATAACTTTTGCGATTGCCGTGTTACTGTAATCGTGAATCCTTTAAGATGAGAAAAAATTCCAGGTTCATTATCATCAACATCAAGTAAATTGCTGCGAAAATGGCTACTCCTTCCATTACAAAATCAGTGGACATCAATAGCAGCGTCAGTCTCAGGGTAAGTTCAAAGAGGAAAAAGAACTCCATCAAGTTCAGTCCTATAAGCATTGCAGCAACTTGAAATTTCAGTCATAGCTCTCGAGGAATTCCAGCAGTGATCAAGCCAAAACTCTTGCGAAACCAATGGACAGCAGTAGCTACGAGTCAGTCTCAGGGCGCAAGAAAATTCAGTTGTATAAACTTATTAGCGTGGATGCAAAAAATTGATGTAAGAAATGCAGAGTCAGGGGATGTTCTTTCTTGCTGTTAGGCCAAACTTTTTTGTAGTAGTAATGGGAACCCCAGCCTACCCCGCATGCCCGCATGTGCCCTTTTGGCTGTGATTAAAAGCTTGGGTATAAGGCAAGCCATCCTCAGGAGTATGTAACAAACTTAATTACCGTTAGAGCCTGGTCGCGGAGGAATTCATTTGTTTCTTGTAGTATTTCCTTTTTCTTTTTCCACGGTCGTATTACTGTAATTGAGTTGGGATTTCAGTCAGAGTCATGGCGTACTGATAAGCTATGTACTGTCCCGTATCTCTGGAAATTGAGTCAGTATTCAAATTCATGTGTTCTAGACCTGCACAATCGAGTCAGTATTCCATTGTCGCATATATACATGGACCAAACTAGTGGACAGTCAGCGGCAACCTCAGTCCCAGGGCACAACATCCCAATTTAACCTGAGTTAATTTCAGCTCTAGAAAAAACATTCAAATGACTTGGAAGTTGAGCAGAAAATTACAAGCTAATAAGGCCGTATATGTTCTTGTGGTTTTGTGTACGATTGTGGACTCGCTGCCTGCCGTCCAGTCCCGTATCATCAGCAGGAAATATCTTACTGTGCCACCATGTCGACAAATACGGCCCCACCTGTCATAATCTGACTTAAAACGACTCAACCGATCGACTAGTGTTTTTTGCAAAAAATTAGGAATTTTTTTTGGTGATTTTGGGCACAATTACGTAGATTTGTGGTTCCTGCAAACCTAGTCTTCAATGTCGATGTTTGTTGTAATTCACTCCGCATATATATATGGACCAAACTAGTGGAAAGTCAGTGGTAGCAACCTCAGTCCCAGGGCAAGAAACCACAACATCCCAATTAACCTGAGTTAATTTCAGCTCTAGAAAAAACATTCAAATGACTTGGAAGTTGGGCAGAAAATTACAAGCTAATAATGCCGTATATGTTCTTGCGGTTTTGTGTACGATTGTGGACTCGATGCCTGCCGTCCAGTCCCGTATCATCAGCAGGAAATATCTTAGATGCCGGAGAACGACAATTACTTTGGCTCCTATGAACCACCACAAATAACTGAACAGCAGCAACCTCACCCCCAGGGCATTTTCTCTCTCTGCAACAATAAACATGTGGGATTTTACCAATCCAGCATTTGCTGCTTTAAAAATAATAAATTCTGTAGCAACTTCCTGGAATACAGCATTTGCAGTGCAGCAGTTATCCCATTAATTACTGCTATTCATCTCAAGGCAAATGAAAAAAAAATAGAGCACGGGTGGAAGATGATCACATTATATCGACAGAGATGGCATGCTTTTCAAACCAAAGCTGAGAAACACAAACTCAAACTGAAATTGTCATGGCCGGAGAGTATGAGCTGCCAATCGCAAGCACGTACATAAGCAACAGATAACAAAAACCAACTTGCATTAACACTAGGGTATTCAAAAGCATCTTGCTACATTAGAAACATAGATAGACCAAAGGCATATGCATTCACTGATGCGTGACAAATTCAGTGACAACAAAAAACTGCAGCATCCCTTTCTTCATCTTGAGAACACAAAAGCATTAACTTGAAACTAACCCAATACAGATAAATATAATATCTAAAAAAATTGATGATCAGTTCAGCATTACAAAATCATTAATCTGCAAGTAACCTGGTGGGAAGAAACTCGTGAATGGGTAACAATAATTTGGAGAACGGGTAACATTTAGTTTCCTGGATTGCATTGACTTGGGTTGAACCATATAGATACCACCACTCATACCTAAAAGGATTACATCATTATCCTCATCATACCCTCCAATCCAAGCCATTCGGTCTTTCTCCTAGTTCGGCGAGGGATGTTAAGAAGGTTACCCAATGCAACAGTCTTGCATGGCAACCATTTGGCAACGCCCCGATGATTGACCTTCCTCTGCCACAATTGAAGGGTATGATAAGACAACACGGCGAGACCAACGGTACCATACTCTGCCTAGATGATATGGAAGTTGCCGGAATCATTCATACCGCGAGGCCCCTTGATCACCGTAAGGTTCTGTGTGTCCAAATCAAACTCAAGTATCTTGTCTGCCCAATTATGTAAAGGCCAGTAAAGAACATTACCAACAAGGGTGCTAGGACCAATATGAGAACACACATTATGTGAAGCCTCTGTAGAGATGAGACCACTCCATGTGCTAGTCTCCGAGGAGTAAACGTGGGCGATGGGTTGTCCATAATTATCTATGTATTCTATGTACATGGACACCAAGACCACCTTAATGGGGGGAGGGGCTCGAATGGCATACGCCGTGCACGTGGCCCTTATCACGGTCAACACAGAGCACCGCCCCGTTGAAGCACTCACCCCAAAACTCCAAAGGGACAACCACGGGGCACTGCTCGCTGGTGATGGGGTCACACACAACGAATTTTCTCCACAAATAGTCCCGGACAAGGACAAGGCCATTTTTTCTAAAAAAAAAAATCATGAATTCGAAAAAACATCACGATGTTGGTCGCGGTTGACTGGTTCACCGTTGACCTATTGACATTTCTGAGAGAAAGTGTTTTTTCTAAAGCAGGCATTTTTCTAAAAAAATCATGGTTTCAAAAAATGTGCTCGAACTCGAAAATGTTCATGAGTTCAAAATAAAATGTAGATTTGAAAAGGTTCACGAACTCAAAAAATTCTAGGGTTTGAAAAGATCGCAATATTAAAACATCTCGGATTTGAAAAAATTTCACAACCTCAAATTTTTTTCGCATAAGAGTTTTTATTCAATAAGCAAATTATTGCATAAGAGTTTTATAATTTATAATTTATTGTATGGATAAATGTTAAATCAATACATGATTTTATAGTTTATTATATTTATTTATATATCATTTATAACACACTATTATAATTTACATATATTCTGCAAATTTCTGGAAAAAACACAATGCAAAATGGGCTGCATGGACTGTTAAGTGAATCCTCGATGCTCAGTGTTTCGCCGTGCGCTCCTTCATCCTACAGGTCAGCTGTTCGAGTATCCCGCACATGCTAATTTTTTCAATTATTTGTGTGACGCTGACAAATGGACCCTTGTGGCCGCGGCAGGGTCTTTTTTTGAGAAAGAAAAATCCGAGTTTGTTTTTTTTTTGCAAAATAGTGTGCCACACCACTGGTAGAAAAAGTGCCTATAGTCCCGGTTCGTAAGGGCCTTTAGTCCCGGTTCCTGAACCGGAACTAAAGTGTCGGTACTAATACCTCCCACCTTTAGTCCCGGTTCAATCCAGAACCGGGACTAAAGCCCATCCACGTGGGCAGTGTGCAGAGCCCAGTCAGGAGACCCTTTGGTCCCGGTTGGTAGCACCAACCGGGACCAATAGGCATCCACGCGTCAGCATTTCTGTGGCTAGAGTTTTTGTTTTTTTGTTTTGAAAGGGGGGGGTTTGGGGGTTTTGGGGGGTTAATTTAGGTGTTTCATATATTATGTTAGCTAGCTATAATTAATATAGAGAAGTGTCCTCTC